GCTCATATTAATCACTATTTTTTACCGATTAAAGCGATAAGGAATACGAGACGAGATCTTCTCTCGGAGCGTCGAAGGAGAACGACCGTGAATAAATGCAAAAACGTTCTTAGGGAGTAATAAACGTTTAAGGCGATAATGCGGTGAGAACGTGACGAGAAACGCAGCATTTTTAGAATCTCGTTTGAACGGAAACTAACTGCTATCGAATACAAATTTGAAACTATGTACCTGTACGTTGAAATACTTGGCTAAGATATACGCTGTCGCACGCGAGTGCACGCAATATCAGCGGGATACATTCCCGACGGAACGGTAACATAATTTTCTGTACTTTGAATTAGTCGGATAACGAACGGGGCATACGTATTATTAGTCAGCGTCAGTCTAAAACTATCGTTTCAATGGAAAGTAAAAACGGGGAATAGCGAACGACAGTTGAAAGTGTTCAATTCTGACATTCGATGCAAATGTGTTGATGTTATTAGAGCTAGCAGCCGAGAGAGAGCAAAAAAAAAGAAACTCTTAAGACATTTCGTATTTCGTGTCAGGGCGTTTATGTATATTTTTATATCTACAGGTGCAAAGTTTAAAATTAAGATGAAGACAAAAAGTGTGTATTTTCCTTTTCAAGGCATTCTAAACGTACCCGTCATTCTTTGTCGTGTCTGTGCTGCATTCATCCCTTAAAGAGAGACATACAGAAGTCTAGGTGTTAAGTTGTTGCTTGTCGCAAATCGCCAAAGTTCGGAGTGTGGCCGGTTGAAGTCGGAAGAGGTCTCGCGACCGCGGGACAAGAATCATCATTTCTTGTACATAACACGCGTCTTCGAAGCGTCCGTGTCTTTCCTCGTGTTTCCTTTTGAATTCCGAAAACGAACGCGAGTCGGACGGACACGTTCGACCCGCTTCGGCTCGTTCACCGCGCGTTTAGCAAAGCGAATCACGTCCGAAACTGCGCGTACGGCCGCGTACGAGTGCAAAAAGGCGGAGTGAGAAGGACGGAAGCCGACGCGAGAAGCGGCGAATCGAAGAAGCCCTCTCCGGCCGTGTCGCTTCGGTCAACGACGATCGATTTTCCACGCTTCTATCGCGACGAAACGAACGAAATTATTCGCAAAGAGAAAGAGAGAAAGAGAGAGACAGAGAAGGAAATAATTTCGTTCGTTTCGCACAATCAGAATTCGACGAGCTGTGCGCAACGCTGCCTTACAATCGATCATGGGTATTTCTTTCATTCGACAGGTTCAAGCAAGGATCGTGAAACAATGCGAAACGATGAGCGTTCTGTAAGAAGGATGCTGCGGACGGGCATCTGCTTCCGTGTAGCAATTTGTCGTGCCTTCTGTCGTGGCTGCTTTCGGCGATTCACATTTATTTTTCTATTTTACGTGTCCGAACCCTTAACACATCCGCCACCAGACGTTTCCACACACCCTGTTCACCCTGACAGGGATCCACGTGCACCACCACTACCACCACCAACCCACCTTCACCAATTTCAAAAGACTAATCCCTGTTTAAACATTGTCCCCATCCCCGGATTTTTATCCCATCGAACTCGTAAAAACAAATGCTGAAGTAAGAAACCTCTTCGCTATGTCGTACGATTATCGTGTTATATACGTATATATATATATATGATATGATATATACGTGTATATATGTATATGTGATATAATATATATATATATGGTATGATATACATATAGCATAACTTATAACTTTGTACTTTTCCTGTAGATACGACATAATACTGTCACGTCTAATTTAAACAATAAAATTTACGTTAATAAACTGCTTCATTTATTCAATATCCCGACGTCAAGAGTGGCCGAGAATGGGAACTACGGCAAACAGCAACGAACATTGGCGAACATTGGCGAACACTGGCGACGGCGACCGAGACTAAAGACGCTAGTTAGCAGCAGTGTTAAGTCAACCGCAGATCATTTTATTTCCCATATCAGAGATTATAACATTTTTACGTTCCTTTAACTTATTATTGCAATTGAAACATTAAGCAACTCTAACATCATTTTTTGAACGGTATTAGCGATATCGAATCTCTGTCTAATTTAAATTTATTGAATAAATATTCCACCGTTGCATCGTCGCGCGACATTTTCTTACTTTCATCATCCTTATTGCGTTTATTCCGTGCAGAAGTTCCTTTCTTTTCCTTCTTGACTTGTACCGCAGAGGTTACTTTATTCTCAGTTTCAATTTTCCTTCTTTTTAACCTGAACTCTGTAGAATTTGTGTCTACGGTGACGCAGCGGTGGTCTCGTTTGATACGTGGTTCCTTTGCTCCTGTAAAGATCACTGTGCGAGGACTCGGATTTGCAATTTGACCTTCTTTTTCCACTGTTCGTATCCGAGTAGCGCTATTTTTTTCTTTGATTCGCGAATCGCATTGCGATTTACTTTTCTTGCTGGGAACTAGAATATTATTTATTCTGGCGTCTCTGTTAGAACTACATGGCTTCAAAGATATTTCTTTGTTTAGATTGTATTTAACCAACAAAGCATGCGCTATTTGTGTCGCGTTTGAATTATCTTCTGCGCGTTTCATCGTACTCTCCTTCTTTGTTTGAATATTGTCCTCTGTGTACAACTCTGTGTCGGATAAACTACCTTTTTGATCTCTGTATTGTGCAATCACACTTCTGTTATTTTTGTCTATACATATACTTTTGAAAATGGAGTTGCATTTTTTTAATGCATTTTCTGTATATTCCTTTGGTTTGTCTTGAATAATTGTAGACTGTTTCTTCTTCATATCCGCATTAATATCACAGCTGAGATATATAAAATACTTGTAATTAATATACCTTTTTCAATTTGTTTAACAGAAAAATGTAATGAACTTGGAATTGTATATAAAAAGTGAAATTCTGAAGTTTATTTAATGTGTGGATGTACTTACATACTGTATTTGATTTTGTGTATGTTCTCTGAGTAGCTAATAAACAAATCAGTTCTATGCTCTACTGTATCACTATTTTCACAAAAATCACAGTTTCTTCTGCAAGGCTGTCTTACATGTCCGAAATATTCACTAATGATCGAGTGACGGCATCTAAATATAATTTTGCATGTAATTTTTTGAATACACAAGAGTAACATTAATTTAAATTTCTTACTGTTTTAAAAGGCAATATGATACAAGTTTGTTGTATTCATTCAATTGTATCTTAATATCTTTTAGGTCATACATGGTTGTACGACGCTCAATTAGCATCTTTACAGAGGAATATTCCTTTGTGCTAAAATATATTCTACAGTATGCACTGCCATCATCTATGTGACACTGTGCAGATTCTCTATAGTATTTGGGAATATTTTCAGGTACAGTCCAATAAACTATGCACCTGATTAAATAAATGAAAAAATATTCATACAGAACAACAGTTGTGTATTTTCTAAATTACTGAATAATTCATACTTAATTGGTTTTCTATGAATAAATCCATAATCATATGTTGTAATGATGAGATTAGCTTTTCCTGATATCCATTTATGTTCTATATCACTTCTCTTCTTTTTATTTAGTTCTACAACCATTCAGAAATGTATGCTTTTCCCTTAAAAACTTAAAAGAACCTTATTTATTTATGTAACTTCTTACTTACTGTGATGACAAACAAGTGTGGGTACACCAGAAGCAATTAATTTAGTCTCTATCAGTTCTGCTATGACTTTTTCTTTACAATAAACAATACCAAGTTTCCTATGTATCTGAGTAGAGATAATTTTATATGCACCTTGCAATTATATGAAAAGACAAAATGATTTACCTTAGAAATAGATGGATTTAAGAAACCAAGCACTTCTGTAATAAAGTTTGTAAGATGCTCAAATGGCTGGGAAAGAATATCTAAAAACCACACATCATAAAATACATTGATTTGCTGCACTGGCATTTTAAATATTTTTGGGCTTTCCATTGTTAACAACTCACAAATATCTTCAATTACCTGCCAAATAATTAAATCAAATCCTACAATATACCTAACATTTTTATGACTAGTATATTATGATTACATCCTTTAAAATTTAAAGTTGTTAATGATGGTGCTATTTGATATACATTTATAGCTATAAAGCTTTCAGTGTGTTTTATAAATAAAATATGTTTACAATATGTTTTTAAACAATCATTAAGTTTAAATTTTAAATTTCGTAAAGTTTTGATAAATGAACAGTAAGTTTATTTACCTTATCAGTAACAGTTGTAGTTACTGCAACTATAGGAACATTTCCACATATATCAATGTATGAATTAATATCTTTATAAAAAGGTGTATATTCATATCCCCATTCACTTAGACAATGCGCTTCATTAAACACGATATAAGACAACAAATTACGCTCAATTAATGAGAGTACCAGCTTCTATGAGTACAAAGTCAGATTCATTAACTATGAGAAAAAATTTTGGATTAAAAAAAAATACACTACTGACAAATCTACCTGAAAATATGACATAATAGCTACTTGAGTAGTAGCATATAACAATGGTATTGTTAAGCAATTCGAAGTTAAATCTGTTAAGATTTTATTTCGGTCCTTAAACTTTGTAAAAGAACTTAATAGATGTGCATTAATCTGTTTATTCCTTAAAAAATCAACACGTTTCTGAAAATATTCAAATATGTAGAAGATAAATTCAACAGGTACTTGAGATTTTACCTTCATGGAACATAATCTTGGAGAAAGAACAATAGCTACTTGGCCTTCTTGTAAAATGGCTGGAAGTTCAAAGCAAAGTGATCTACCAAAGCCTGGAGGCATGGATATGCATACATATTTTGAACCTGTAAATTTGTAATGTTTTAACATAATTTCTAAATGAGTACCATATTTCTTCTTAGAAAAAGATTTAATAAGTATATATCTCAAGAACATATAAAATTGATATATGAAAAAATATGATTAGAAAAGTAATAAACAATATTATAGAAAAATTAACCTTTGCTAATAGCAATAGTAGCTTCTTTTTGAATATCATTCTTAAAATTTTTGTAACCAAACACAGTCCGTAAAATACCTGTCACGTGGGAATCGTCATTATTCATTACTAATTATTTTCTTATACATGAAGCATTTATTTTTCATTGAAATGAAAATCACATTTCGTGTAAACAATTTCAAAACTTCTAATTGTATGGCGGCACAGTATCGGCACGTCTTTATTATTAGCTGAGTACTATTTGGCTAGAAGTTTGAGCGTACTTGCAATAGTTGGCGCCACCAATCTGGGTTAAGGAAGTCGCATTTTTACAAATTATTATCCTAACAGCATTTTAATAGATTAGACACAATTATTCTGTATCGTATTCTTACACAATCTTTCAATCGTTTTCTGTATTTTTATTTCAATCTTTCGAAAAATTACAACATATACTGTATAGTTTAGTTACACTTTATTCCAGTAACAATCACTTACAATAAGTATTACATGGCCAATAACTAAGTATAACATTTAACATTTAAAATATTTAATTATCTGGTTATCATAATACTAAATTGCCACCTCGATTTTATCTATGATAATCTATTACTAAATAACAATTACAATTACAAGTTGCTGATAATTCAATATATTAATCCAACTGTGCATATGTAAATGTATATGTATATAACTTTAATATTCTAATAAAAACCAATTATCAGTCTCAAAGCTATAATTTAATCCAGGAGTAAGTTATACCTCTTAATGTTATACTGATTTAAGTATAAAATTATTTTACATTGTAACCAATAAATGTATCATACACTTTAATCCAAATATTAACATGTAAAAATATTCATACATTAACCCTTATCGGATATTAAATTCTTAGATCTGTGTTGCAGCTAAGTAATTTCTTAGTCAATGTTCACACAAATTGTCACACAAATTACCACAGGAGTGACAAATGTCTGTTAGAGTAAAAAATGTAATCTCACATGAGAAATTACATATGTCCGATAAAGATTAAATGGAAAATTATTATATATACATATAATGATATATATATATATATATATATATATATTCATTGCATACCAATATTCCTTCAATGTATATCTATTTATGTATGTCCTATTCCATTGCTAGGCATTACGTTAGAGGTATTCAACTACATTGCCTTATTCTATGCAATTCCAATGCATGGATTAGACTACAACATTTAAAAATCATAACAGAAGTTAATTCAAGTTTTAACAATACCCTTTTACCGTTAAAATACATATCTTATATACATTGAAAAATAATTAACAGTTTACAACATCTATGTCGACATAATACTTTCAGTTATACAATCTACAAGATAACTTCTCTACATTCTTAATCACAAAGGATTATGTTGTTCTGTGCTTCCAAATTCGACTTCTAACTGAAACCTATTGTCTGTAGCTACAAATAGCATAACCAAAAGCATAGGTAAGCGAAAACGTGATTGCCATCCGAGTTTAAGCATGAAGATTAAAGCACGATGAAACGTGCTGCCAGTTGCCAGGAAGAGTTTGGATGCCATTGTATTTATTACTGTAATAGTAATATAAACACCAACACTGATATTTATTATCAATATTGCTTAATCCATTTGCTGTTTTAACCTCAAAACAGCTAGTTAGATACACTCATCTAACGTTTAAAAGCTCATACAATTTAGGCCACAATTTATATTGGTTCACTTCTTCCGCAGGATGTCAACAACTTGTTCGAAAAACTTAATGTACCAAATATCCTCTGTTTTGTTTTCAGCTGAACAAATTAATCGTCAAAAGTGAAAAGACGATTTGCGTTTCAAATTCGTATAAATAGGTACGAATCTATAATGCTCCGTCCACGTATTCATATTCAAGCAAAAATTCATTAAGCGTAGAGGTTATGTCCAGTTACATCTCAAATGTTTAACAACCAAAACATTTTAAATATGCACAATTTCTGTACTATATGCCAACGAATACTTTCGTTACTTATTAGTATTTCGATGGCCACAGAATCAAAGCAGAACGTAAATTATTTTACGTAAACATGGACATAAGTACTCTTTTACAGTTTACTGACGACTCAATTGCACTATCGATACATCGAGATTTCGTTTCACCTTCAATCACAAAATTTCAAAATATATACCGCGAAACTTTTAGTAATAAATACATACTATAAATTCAATACTTATTCAATTATATTTATGTATTTTTATTACTAATATCATCATACTCTATATACTAAAATTAATAGAAAAATAAAGAAATATATATTTGTAGGTTACATTTGTAAGACTTCGAACGTCGCATATTTACTTTGCATTGTAAGTTATAAAACGGTTCCACAATGAAGAAACTGATATCAATCTGTACAGTCAGTCATTGGTGGGGTCAGAGAGTATAAATATATTTAACAAGCATCATCAGCCACTAGTGAACAACGTATTCTTCAATGATGAACATCGACTTCCAAGGAAAACGTATCCTCGTTACAGGTGCCGGTCGAGGTATGTTATAAAATTTATACATAAATTATTCATTTCAACTTCAAATATCATAACAATATATAGCTCCATCATTCTGCGATTTAATAGAAGTCAGGTTATCGCTGGTTGAGTAACTATTTGAATGTAGCCAATCAGGTTCAATCATCTTAATACCCATTAGTCGTGGGCTAATAAATCGTGATAGTAGTTTTATCTTAATTTACAGATTCGAAAACAGCTACACTTTTCTTTATGGAAACGAATTTATTGTCAGATTTATAATAAAATTTAATTGTTAATGCTAAAACATCCTTGATTAATTCTCATTCAAGAAAGAACTTTTTCCAGAAAGAACTTTGTGAACGTATTAATTAATATCACAGGTTAATGTACAATAAAAATATCCTTTTTATAGAGAGACATAAAAGCATTTAAACAAATTGTGATTTACAAACGTGTAGTTCACGTAATGAGGTTAATAATAAGTATAGATATCAGGATATTTACAAAACATGTAAAAGAAAGGAGTTTTCATCATTTTAGTTGAACATTTATCAGATTCTTTTATTAATGTTTATTAAGCTTATGTTACTGTGTCAACGGTCATGTCATGCTACAAAAAACCGATTTTTCAACGATCACTGAAATTGCGTTAAAAAATTTTTGAGTGAAACCCTATACATGCATAGTACACATCTAGAAAAGAAAAACTTTCATGGCTTTTTTGACATTGGTCCTATATTTTTGAAAAGAGTTTTAACTATATATGAGACATTAAGCGAACAGAAAAAATTGACTACAAGATGTAACACCAGTTAGCATATCTGGCTATGACACTGAAGGTCGTAAGTTCAAATCTCCATGCTTACGATTCTTTCTTTTCTCCTTTTTCTTTTTTTTCATTTAAATTATAATTTCTAAATAGCTTGCATTTTATTATTACAATATTATTTATATTGATATTATTACAATTGACCATTGTTGACTATTGCCAAAAAGTCCACGAGGATTTATCATCTCTACATCTTTCACTGTGAAGTTTTTCTCTGGAAGCTTCTCAAAAGTAAATATCCCAACGTATAACAAACGTTACAACCTGATTTATCAAAGGTCAAATAACGCTGATAATTATAAATAATAATCATCGTACGTTAATGCGATTACATTTCACTCCAAATAATATCTGAAGAACTGAATGACATTTTCCAATGATCAAGATACAAATATCTAGTATTATCTCAGTGTTCACCATACAAAAGCAACTTGTCAATTCAATAATTCTCCAAATTTCATTATAAATCTTATAACCGTGTATTTATTCAAATTTCAATCCGCTTATATTTCAGTGTAGGTATTACTAAATCAGCTTTTCAAACGATTCCTCACAGAAGCATCTGTACCTTTTCAGTAATTGTAAAAGAAATCAGGAACGGTCATTCTGACCCATCTGGTTCTTGTGTCTATTATGTCATTTGTCATCTGTCTAGTTCTAGTGTCAATAATCATTGAATATGATCTACCTTTGTTTAACCCTTTGCGGACGGACGTCATTTCGACAATGAAATTCCCATATTTCGAAGATTAAGTCGCAAATGATTGAATTACCCGAACAGCAAGAAATCAGTACGCAGCTTGCTCTTTTCTCCATTATTTAAGCAATCTATATATAATTTCTCTTCAACTGGAGGTTATTTGTATTTCAAGGAATCACGGTCCGCAAAGGGTTAAAATGTCTCGCTGAAAAAAGTTAACGAATCGATGCGTCATAGGCATTGGCAAAGAGCTGGCTCTGCGTCTTTCGAAGCTCAATGCCCAGGTGATCGCTCTGTCCAAGACGAAGGAGAACCTGGAGAAACTGCATGCCGAGGATCCACGTATCCAGACCGTGTGCGTGGATCTTCTCGACTGGGCCGCGGCCAGAAAAGCCGTCCAAAGTGTCCTGCCCGTCGATCTCCTGGTGAACAATGCCGCTGTCGCCATTCTTTCTCCGTTCTTGAAGGCCACCGAGGAAGACTTCGACTTGAGCTTCAACGCGAACGTTAAGACGATCCTGAATGTCTCCCAGGTGGTTGCCGGGGACATGATCAAAAGGAAAGTTAGCGGCAGTATCGTGAATGTATCTTCGCAGGCCAGCCAGGCTGCTTTAAGGGACCATTCCGTTTATTGCGCCACCAAAGGAGCGGTGGACATGTTGTCCAAGTAAGAAATCTTATTCTCGATACATAATTATTTATGATTTGTATAAAATATGTTTATATCGCCATCCCTCTATCTATCATATGATATGTTACTAGTATCCCATTTTCATCTACATATGTATATTCCAAAAAAAAGTTTTTTCTCTCCTCATCTTACCGAATCAAACCGAAAGAAAATAGTTTGCGTCTTTGTTATTATTTGGAGGCCCTTCGTAGATCATGTACCTTGAATTTTTTTGCCACGTTGTGCACACGTGTTAACACTAGAATTACCGAGATAAACGTTCTGATGAAAGTTAAAAGCTTGAATTTTCCTAGTAGCTTCTATGTCAGTTTAGGTATTACTTAACACGTTCGCTGACGTGAATGCTACGATATTCAAATGTATACACATTATTATGCATTTAATACTACGTAGCCCTGTTTTTTTAAAATTGTCATGCACTTTGACTCTCGGAGAACTGAATTTACATTTTTTCTATATTTGCAGCTCATTAAAATTTACCGCGAACGTGGTAATCTGTTTAGTCACTTTCAAAGAGGTATTCGTTCTTCAGTAATCACAAAAGAAGACATCAAGGAATGGGGCATTTTGACTCATCCGGCAGTTCTAGTGTTAAGGAGAATCAATAGTTAATACTTTGTTTCAGGACGATGGCTCTTGAGCTCGGGCCGCACAATATTCGAGTGAACACCGTGAACCCCACGGTGGTCATGACGGAAATGGGGAAAATAGGGTGGAGCAACCCGGAGAAGGCGCAAACCATGATAAACAAGATACCATTGGGTCGTTTCGCCGGTATGGAAGTCGCTCCCTTTATCTAGAGTAAATCCTTGGGGAAATGTATCGGGGACAATGCTAATTTTTATGTATGTCGATTGCAGAAGTGGACGAAGTTGTGGATGCAATTGTTTACCTCCTGAGCGATCGAAGCTCCATGATCAGTGGAGTGCAATTACCGGTCGACGGTGGATTTTTGGCGACGTAGATCACCGATCGACGAACATCGAATCTCATTTATAGACTGAAATTTCAGGATTTTTTATATATTCGAGCTTCTACCCATATAGAAAAGCGTAAAAGCGTTCAATAAAATTCTTGTCTCCTTGGAGGATTATAAGCTGCAGTCTATGAAAGTTTATACCTACATGAGAATCCACAATCCATTCATTTATAATAGAGTGAAAAGATGGCTCACTTTTTCAAAAGAACTATTGTGTCAATGAATATTATTGATACCTAACAAAACCAGGTATTAATAGATAGATAGTGAGTAGTCCTCTGTGCAAGATTCAGTGCACTAAAAACTATTACTATTACTACTAGAATTATTAAGGATAAAGTAGTTGCATCGATCATAATTAAGAAGTAAATCGTAGAGCAAGGGTGCACTATTAAATTACTTAGTTTGTACTAACAAGTGAGTTTCTGCCATAGGAAAAAGGGAAATATGGAACGGAATCTACTAGAATTATTAAGGATAAGGTAGTTGCATTGATCATAATTAAGAAGTAAATCGTAGAGCAAGGGTGCACTATTAAATTACTTAGTTTGTACTAACAAGTGAGTTTCTGCCATAGGAAGAAGGGAAATACGGAACGGAATTTACTAGAATTATTAAGGATAAAGTAGTTGCATCGATCATAATCAAGAAATAATTCGTAGGGCAAGGGTGCACTATTAAATTACTTAGTTTATACCAACAAGTGAGTTTCTGCCATAGGAAGAAGGGAAATACGGAACGGAATCCGATGGATCGAGTGAAACGCAGCCAGTTCGTTTATCTCGTTTAATTTAAAAAATGCTTCGTTTCTTCTTTTTATTATTCAACTAGAACTTAGCGGGCGGACGGCGGGGAACGCCGCGGCACGCTCGCGGCCGTCGAAGAAGAAACTCGTATTTCCGAAAATATTTTACCATGACGACCGGTCGCCGCGCTCGCTCCCCGCCGGCCGCCGCCATTACCGATCTAAAACAAACGTTCGTTTTCCGGCTCCTAAATCGGTATTATTTACCCCTACGGTAAACGTAAAAAGTGGCGGAGAAAAACGCGAAATCAGACTGCCTTCACGAAAGACAATTTTGCTTGTTCTCTTTTTTCCCATTTTCTTTCCCATTTTTTTTTCCCTTGAACACCGTCGGACCTTGCCGTTGACTCGATTCACGCCCGGCGATTCTTAATCGGGAACCTTGCGAGTTGCCAGGTTGATTTTGCTCGTTCGTACGTGATCATTGTAATCTATCCTACGCGATCGACGGTTCACACCGAACACGAATAATATCGACACGCGGACTTGACGCGATTTTCAGTTCGAAACGAGGAGTCACATTTATGTTACTTTAGTAAAAAATAAACGGTTGCGACAAGAAATACTAATATCACCGGATCGATCTCGTATCGCGAGAAAATCCGAGACTCCACGGGGTTCAAAGGTTCACGGTGAACACTTTCGTTGAACTCTGTGACTTCGCGTGACCGTGACACTGCAGATACGAGCATGTGAAACCATCTATTTCTTACTATTCATTTCACGACCGGGGAATCGAATGTTCGACGATGCGTTCCGGATTAAAAATCGCTTCGCGTGATCACGACGATACAGTTAATATCAGTAGCATCGCTGCATTGGTCTTAACCCTGCTACGTTCTTGCATTCCATTCATTCGTTCAACGTCCCTTTCGCGTTGAAAATCCGAGAAAATGATGTTCAATATACGCGTTCCTTCGAAATGTACATTCGCACCGAGGACCGTAGCAGAGTTAAATATGGCTGACCGTTTCTGTCCCCTCTCGTCCGAAGAATCCGAGTTCTTCTCCGCGACGAGCCTCGTAAATTTGATCTCGAGTCAACGCGCAGATTAAAAGTATCGCAACAAGAAAGACGAACGAAAGAAAATGCCAAGGGACAAATAAGCTCGGCGTTCACACGGCTCGATGCCTCGCGGTCGACAGCGTTCGCGCAATATACGGCTACACACCGAGAACGAAGAAGCGAAACGTACAACGACGAACCGTACAATTGCACTTCAAGTTAGGAGTTTAACGAACTCACATCAAGAATGACAAGACAATGCAAGCTTTTTAGTTCTCACCTTAATTGCGCCGATCGGCCGATCGGTCGATCCACCGGGAACGGAGGAAAGCGCGAGCCGCCAACGACAACGGAGGGAAGCTTTCTGTGTCCGATGGATCGACGACCCGATCGTGAACGACAGATTAAATAGCTGCGAATTTACACGTTATTCTTTTTCATCCTTTGTCGCCCTTTATCGCCTCACCTCTCGATCGACAGCCACGGATCACGGTTGGACGAAACGCGGTCCGATCGGAGCGTTAACGAGGTTCGCGTGGGAATTATTCTCTACGAGAAGTGTAACGATTTCGGTAAGCATGAAACGTAATCGGTTCGATTGCAAGTTTGTACAATCGATCGCGAATTCAGTGTGTACAGAATAAATTACAGGAATAAAGTAAATCGTAATTGAATCAACATTTTCACTGTAGTCGGCGAACGTCCGATGGATCGCATCTCGTCCAACGCGGATCAATTGATTCTCGACGATCCGTTCGCTCCTGCCATCAACGGAGATTCTCAATTGTTCCGAATAAAACAAAGAAATGAGGGTTCAACGCGTCCCCGTGCCACTTGAGAGCAATGGATTCAGTTTCTCCTTTACACAGGGTGGTAATGAGGACTCGACGGCGTACAGGACTCACTAAACCGAACGGGACACCTAAATATACACAACGAAGTCCGTATCCGCGGAGACACAGATTTTCCGAATGCTTCCTAACGTTCAATTCCGCGCCCTCCGATTTTCAAAAATAATTCAACGTCCCCTATAAATAACGAACCGCGCGCTTCGTCAATTCGGTGAGTACTTACGCGTCCCCGGAGCGGGCAACAATTCGTTAACACTTTATCTACCGAAAGCCTCACGACAAGGCTCCTTAATCGCTCTACTATATCAAAGAGGAGCTTCATTATCGTCTGTACAGAATAATCTTGAACAAGGAAATCATTCGATCAGAAACGAGATTCACCGATTCACAATCGCTATTGCCATTCAATTACGAGAACATCCTCAGCGGTTGATCGCCGATCTTCTCGCGGATCGCTAAACGACCACCGGTAGATAAGGCGTTAAGTAACGGCACGCGTGCGCGATCGTCTCGATAAATTTCGAAGATCTCGCGGCGCAAGGAGCGGAACCTGGAAGTGTCCGGGGAAGCCGAGAAGAATCAAGCTCCCCCGTCGTCGGTCCACCCTGAATCCCTTCTGCTCGGACACACGGAAAAAACACAGGAGGAGAGAAATCACTTACGGATGCGATCGAGATCCATGGATAGCTAGGGGGTAGCGTCGATCGATTCGACTGTCAGCCGTTCGTGCTTTTCATCAACCTACAAAGAAAGGAAAACGTGAATAACAGGAGGCAGGGGGTGAACGCACGCGCGGCGCGAGGAAGCTCGAGGCTGGCTTGGCTGATGGCGAGAGGTGGTGGTCGTGCGATGACAAAAGAGAAACGAAAATTATCGGCGTCGGCTGGGGCTGGGGCGGGGGGGTTGCGAAAACGAAAGCCACGAATATCATGTTTTCCTCCGCGGTTCCTCTCAACACGCTACCACACGCACGCTAGCAAGCACACTCGCACACCTCTCTTCTCACTTTCTTCTTCCTCCTCCTTTTTTACAGTCGCTGGACGAGACACGGGGGACTCGTGAAATTGTTCCCAGACGCACAATTTTCAGAATTTCAAGGGAGGATTCTTTCACGCTAGAACTACTGGACGGGTCAAATCGAGCTGTTTCGGAAGTTCCTTTCGCGGGTGTTTAACACGTCGAACGCCGCGCGATTTAGAGCAAAATACACGAAATGATGAAGATATAATATTAAATCGTTCGATTGAATCCCGTTATCATTATCGCTCGTCTTGCTCAATGTCGTATTAGACAGCATTGTTTATAATATACAAATGTTTCCAAATAATCGTTTAATTGAACAGTAATTCGATTTGATTGGGAGTTACCGGTGACCATGGCATTCAACGTGTTAAATCATGTCGATTTAAGAGAAATAATGTGTACTCGTACGGATAGAAGAATAAGAGACCCTTCGAATCTCGGGAAATTGCTCCGATTCGGTTAAGAAATTTGAAGTAGGTCACTTGAATTGCTCGGTAGTTCTAGCGTTGAAATAATACGGTTTCGAGAGTGATCCCGAGTGGTGAGAAACGCGTCGAATGGAATTCGGTTGTTGCTGGTTCCCTTTTCCGGGGTTCATCGTCGTTTCGTCGAAGGGTCTGCGGTTTAAACCGCCGAACGTCCGCGATTCCAATTTCACCAGGCCCCAGCGAGCTCTCCAGCAAAGTATATGTTTCCCAGAAGCGAGAGAATATATCTATCGACGCGACAACCGGCGAGTCGCGGCGGAAAATGAAACGGGAACGAGTCGGCGACACCTGAAAACGATTTTCCTCGGTCTCCCGAACGCTCGTATGGTACAGAAAGACAGGTTTTTCGCGCGCCACCTCGGATTTCCTTCGTTTCTCATCGCTTATTCCCTACCTAAACGGTCTCCAGTGATTTACACGCAGACACGCGGAGAATCGAACGGACCACACGCGCACACTCGCTCTCGCGCAAACGAAGAGATCACCTCTCGCACGCTCTCGGCTTATCGTTCATAGTAATCCATTTCTCGTTTGTCTCGTTCCGTCGCTACTTCTCTATCGTCGTCTTCTACGCGTCCGTCCGAATGGATCATAATGATCGCACGTATGTACATATACAAACCGGTCTCATCGACGCAGTCGCTCGATTAGCAATAGTTAAAGTACAATGAATCGCGCGAATCGTCCGTCTCGATGCGGGAACGTCGACGAGGATAACTCGACGAGACGATTCCTCGCTGCTCGGGTCCGCAGACCAGTATCTCATTTCTTTTTTTTTCTTGTCGTTTAACATCGTTCTCTCTCTCTCTCTCTCTTTCTCTTTCTCTCACTCTCTTTCTATGTGTATTTGTGTATGCGTTCACGTGTGTTTCTGTCGTCGATTGCCAAATGGTTTCCGTTTCGTTCACGGTCCTCGCTTCCCGCGGTTCGAGAGAAGTCACTCGCACGGGACAAGCTTTCCCCCGGAAAGGGGAAGCTTCTCTAGGCCGAGCGGAATCAAGCACGCGCGATCGCTTTCCGTTTTTTCCGTGGATCGGCTGTGGGGTCGGCGTGGAGGATCGATTCGACGACGAACCGCGTCCTCGCGATCGTGGATCTCGCGTTCTTAGCCTGCCGGAGCGAAGTGGATGGTTTCCGCGATGGAGCTCGCGCGAAGAGAGAAATGGAAGGGAAACGAACGCGAGAGGAAAGGAACTGGCGAGAGAAGAACGTAGAAAGGTAATAGATGCGTGATACGTGAATGTACAAAATGAAAAGGATATTACAGATACATCGTCGACTATCTACAAGTCAAAATTACACTGGACTATGAAAAACCATTCGCTTGCTCTACCTAATCCCCTAAGAAGACCTCTAACACATAGTAGACTCTGTATTGGGATATAAAGATATGGAATCTTCAATACGTTGCATCTTTCATTTTTGTTCTTCGTTGCACTCAATCGATAACAGAGGTAGTACTGTCATTACAGCTACTCATAATCATCGTAGGTGAACAATTACCCTTGCTATCGTGTAATTTTCAGTTGTAGATAGTCAACCAACTTCTTATCTCGGTATAATACACGAATAAAACGAAACTGCGTGAACAGAGACAACAAAGAATCTCGAGCAGAGGAACGGGAGCACGGACTCCTCGCTGAAACCATCGACTCAGCGTTTCAGAGCTCCATTTAAACGAAAAAAGAAAGGAGAGATAGAAAAAAAAACCGAAACGGAGGAACCTGCGAGTCCTCCCTTTACACACAAGCATCGATCTCCTCGGGAATGACACCTGTCTCGCGCGGATTTCGCGAACGTGACGATCCAGGGGACGGAAGCGGCGGGTCGGAAACAACGACGAGTTTTCGTGTGCCTTTCAGTCGTGACGGTAAACGCAAGGACATTCGCTCGCGCTGGCAGTGTTCGTTTCCTCCGTGTTGAAAGCTCGAAATGTTATGTGTATCTACGTCGCTTCGATCCGATCGATCGAGCCAAAACGATCGGCTGCGTACCGATTACTTCGCTGGTTCGTCTGATTCTTACCGGTCCGATTGAATTGTTAACGACAACCGATCCTCGCGGCGGCCGGCGAACAGAAATTCGAATAATCGCGGAATGAAATTCTGTTTCGTGTTCGAGCACAGAGGACGAGAAACGGAAGGAGGCAAGAACGGTAACGAAGAACGCGATCTAAGCATGGCGACACACGTGTCGGACCCGCCGCTTCCGGTCTTTCCAATCGGTCGAGACCACCGTCCGAATAATCCCGAGGAGATCGTTGCACGATCAATTCGCCTCCCTATACGAGTTTTACAACATAGTAAATAGTGTAATTAGCGGTAGCAGCAGCGGTAGTAATTGGTAGTAGTAGTAGTTGGTAGTAGTTAATAGTTAATAGTTAATGGTAATAGTAATAATAGTAGCGGTAGTAGTGTACCCTATGAAAACAAAAGAAAAATACATAGAAAAACACGTGTCGATATAATATATATATATATATAATGTATATATATATAATTTTTTTTCCTTTATATATATATAT